GCTAAGCCGGGCTGGGCCCCGTGAGGGGAGGCCCGGCCACCAGGCACTCGCATTCGAGCCCCAACCCTTGGGCCGGGCTCCAGGGTGGGGCCCCGGCTGCGCCATGCCGGGCAACATCGCGGTCCATGATTTTAATCTATTCATAAAGGGCTTTTGCACCGCTCTTAGTCTGACCCGTCACCCAGGACCTGTTTGCCTTGGGAGACCCTACCAGGGACATATAGCCCCCGACAACATAGCTCCTAGGATCACTCGGGTACTCAAACCCCTCCACCACAATAGGTGGCGGTTCAAGGAGGGGTCCACCATCACCTTGTATGTTTAATGGATGTGTTCAATAAAGACATGACAGATCATGAGTGTTTGTGTTTTATCAACTTAGAAACATTGTGTTTGCTGATATTTGTGACTTTGGTGAAGATCAAATCACATTTCATGACCAGTTTATGCAGAACACCAGGAAATTGCACACAGGCCCATTACTTTTTCTTGCAACTCTAACCTGTGTCTTTTCTAGTTGGTTGTACTGTTTGAATGCTAAAAATGAAATTGATTATGCTTGCACAAGAAATATTCTTCTCATCCAGCCCCTGCATTTAAAATAAATACAGATCTACTCTATACAAATTACATTTGTTGTCATTTTCTAAATATGCCAGTGCTCAAGTTGTATAGGTCACATTAAGTTCCACTTCCTTGCGCATGTTATGAGAATGGTGCAATAAAGGAAATACCACACATTTCAAAAGAGGATAAAGCACTTCACAACCCAAACAGAGAGTTTACAGCATGGGAATTAGTGTCCACAACAATAGTAGTATACAACACTGAATTAAATAAAAGTCTCTCACAAATTAAAATGTCAAGGTAAGTAGTGCAAAACAAGCACATAACTTTATCCATTCCACAGTCATTGTTGATCAGTGTTGGCCAGGTGTGTCAGACACACGAGGAATTTTGACTCTCAATGTGCAAACAGTAGACCAGCATAAGGCTGTGTAATATAACAAGATAGCAGTATTAACATCAACAACCAGTGCAAACAATGCAGAAAAAGCAGTATAAATAGACAGTAAACAATGCAGACAACAAAGGAATGTTCATTGAAATGAGATAATTAGAGATAAAAATAGAGTACTTAAAACAGAGTACTAGAGACCTGTATAGGTCTGTATAATCTGTACAATGTATATTTACAGGTATTGTCCAGTCATACTGTCGTGGGTTAAGTGTTCATCAGAGTGACAGCCTGGGGGAAGAAACCGTCCTTGTGTCTGGTTGTCTTAGTGCACAGTGACCTGTAGCTTCATCCAGAGGGGAGTAGTTCAAACAGATTGTGTCCAGGGTGTGAGGGGTCTGCAGTGATCCTCTCCGCCCTCCTTTTCACCCATGAGGTGTACAGGTCCTCCATGGGGGGCAGGTTCACACCAATGATCTTTTCTGCAGTCCTCACTGTCCACTGAAGTCTGTACTTGTCCTGTTTGGTTGCTGAGCCAAATCAGACAGTGATGGAGGTGCAGAGAACAGACTCAATTATTCCTTTGTAGAACTGTATCAGCAGCTGTATCAGCATAAGGATAATTCATCATGTAACACAAAAACACTCCTCTGAATAAAAGAAAATTAAATCACACAGAACATCATGTAATGGGTGTCATCTTAGTTTTAAGATAATAAAGTCAAACTGGACAGACAAACTCAGGAAGGTCTGGCATCAGCATTATTTGTCCCTGCTGTCATCACATTACACAACCTACATCACTGGTCCCAGCAGGCTCAAATGACTCAAATAACTACAGGCTGATTTTGGACTAATTGCATAGCTGAAAGACACTGGTCACTTAAATGTCAGTGTCATTGCCTTCCTGTCACCGCTGTCGGAACTTTACTTTGAACAAAAGTCACACACACTAGTCCATCCATCCATTATCTATACTGCTTATTCCTATCCTAGCTGACATTGGGTACACCCTGGACAGGTCACCCGTCTATCACAGGGCCACACACTAGTCATTACACACAAATCTATCTCACTTACTTTGCTCATATACTTTATTATTATTATAGATTAGGGTTAAATTTTGAGAGCTGATTTAAAGAAATGTGAGCTTATGCTTTAGTCAGTTTTTCAGATAGCTTCTTGAGCCAAATCAGTGAACGTCTCTTACATCCACAAGTTGATGCCCTAAAACAATAGACACTGATTTTACCTAGAGATTCAGAAGTTTGATTTGAACATTGACTTTGTGTTTTCATAAGAGCATCAAATGCCAACAGTTGTGTGGAATGAATTTGATTGCTTTTGTTTTGATTACTTTTTTCAGAGTACTTTGAAGTGTTTAAATTACCTTTGTAGCTGAAATGTTTCCGGTTGGTTGCAGTAATTTTCTTAGTGCCAAAACAGATGTCTCAAACTACTCTTTTCTAACAGAATATAATACTAAATATAAGAATAAGGAAATACTGAATAAACTTTCTCTGTGACATAGCAGTGGAACAACACCTGCCAAAATAGTTTTAATGCTTGCCTTTTTGTGTTTCATCTTCATGAGATTAGTGTTTCCAAAGCAGTGCAACAATCCAGTACATGTGGTTTGCTGGAGTCATGCCACAATGTTTTTTCAGTTCTCTCCTCCAGAGAGACAAGGTAAAGATAAATGGATAAAGCATTTAAAGATAAAAGGGGAGCTTGCACTGTATCACACATGCATGACAGCTGTTACTGTGCTGTTCTGAGCTATGGGACTTAGCACGTATTATGTAACGTTACACAGGCAGACGACCCTGAACGAAGATATGCTGATTTCACTTGAGTTAGTTCAAGGATGCCTCTCTGTGGACAGTGTGGGTTACAGCATTACTGAGGAGAAACCAGAAACAGTAAAGTGCTTTACATTACGTGATTTATCAATGAAATATAGGGTGCAATACTGGACTAGACTGGTCTTACTTTAATGAATGCCGTATAAGTTATATACAGCATCATATATATATA